TCATATGTTGAAATCTTAACTGTCAGTGTGATGATGTTAGGAGGTGGGGTCTTCATGGGTGACTAGGTCATGAGGATGGAGCCCCTATGAAAGGGATTAGTGCCCTTATATAAGAGACCCCCAAGAGCTCCCTGCTCCTTTCTGCCATGTGAGGACACAACAAAAGCACAGTCATCTATGAACAGGAAAGTGGGCCCTCACCAGGCAAAATCAGGGGTCCCTTGATTTTGAACTTCCCAGCCTCCAGAACTGTGAAAAATAAACTTCTGTTGTTTATTAGCCACTCAATTTGTGGTAGGTAGTTAAAACAGCCCAAGTGGACTAACGTGCATACCCTTCAATATCAGAATCTTTCGGTCTTTCCTCTGGGGCTTTCTCTCCCCCGTTTGGGGGGTGGTCTTTGCTGCCTACTTTCTAAGAAGAGGTTGCAAAAGGGCTGGGGACTCCGCCGGAAGACTTTCACTCAGTCCAGTCTCTTTTTTCCCCTTTTCAGCCACTCTCTTTATCCCCATCCTCACTGCGCTTGTGACCCCCTGACTAGAGTCTACAGAATCCTTGAGAGAAAGCCTCTAGCTTCTTCCCGCTGGGAAAGCAGAGGACATGGCTGTGCTGGCTGCATCGAGGGGATTCAGGAAGTCTGACCTCTCCACATAGAGATTTCCAGCCAGCGCCCTGTTTTCAGTCTAGAACTTGTCCCAAGTGCCTCCAAGCACCAAGAGCTGGCTCTGGGAGTCAGTCAGTCAGGGCCCTTCAGGCCCCCTTTGCTGGCTTTGAGGTTGTAGCTTCCTTCATTCTGCCAAGTCCTTCATCTAATTTCCACCTTCAACATTTGCTGTCATTTCTCACCTGCTGTGGTTTCCCATCCCTTCTCTTTGTCCTTGGGGGTTTGTTCCTTTCTTGTTCCTTTAATATCTTTTAAGGGGCTTAAGGAGTGAACAGACATGAATGAGTCAAAAGTGGTACTGTGAAACGTTTTGTGGAGGTAACATGTGGACAAGATAGTTGTTAAGACTATATTGTGACCAGCAACCCCACTACTTGGCATGTACCCTGTGTGTGCTTGTGTGTGCTCAGTCGCTCAGTCATGTCAGATTCTTGGCGATACCACGGACTGTAGCCCACCAGGCTCCTCCTGAGAAAACCACAATTCTAAAAGACACACGTAACCCAATGTTCATTGCAGCAATATTTTCGATAGCCAGGACATGGAAGCAACCTAGATGTCCATCAACAGATGAATGGATAAAGAAGTTGTACTACCTATATACTGTGGAATATTACTCAGCCATAAAAAGGGACAAATTTGAGTCAGTTCTAGTGAGGTGGATGAACCTAGAGCTTCTAATACAGAGTGAAGAAGTCAGAAAGAGAAAAGCAAATGTCGTATATTAATGTATATAAATGGAATCTAGAAAAATTGTACTGATGAACCTATTTTGGGGGCAGGAATAGAGACACAGACATAGAGAACAGACCTTGGACATGGGGTGGGGAAGAAGAGGGTGGGATGAGCTGAGAGAATAGCATTGACACATACGCATACCACATGTGAGATAGATGGCCAGTGGGAATTTGCTGCCTGACGCAAGCAGCTCAACCCAGTGCTCTGTGACCACCTACAGGGGTGGGATGGGGTGGGAGGTGGGAGGGAGGTTCAAGAGGAAGGGGACATATGTATGCCTGTGGCTGATTCATATTGATGTATGCCAGAGACCAACACAACGTTGTAAAGCAATTAGCCTTTAATTGAAAATAAATAAAATTTTTGAAAAGGCTATATTGGACAGATAATGAATAAAATATAGGTAAGCAAAGTCCAAGAGGAGGATTAAATTGGCGGCTCTTTGTTGTAATCTGGCTCTCTCCCGATGACCAAAATCAGCACTGCTGGCCTCCAGGCTCCCTGCTCTGAGCCTGTTGGGCTCTGATGTTTAAAACGGAAGGATGCACCAAAGGTGAGGAAGGGCGCACTAGCTCCCCTGGGACTTGACATCTTCGCCTCCCTATGACCAAGTCTGGACCTGGGGAAGCTGCTTCCAGAGAAAGGAGGAGACAGACGGGGCAAAATCAGTTGCCTGACCCCTAATAGGAGGTTTGAAGGGAGGAGGCTTGCTCTGGGGATTGGTGACCTCAACTGTATTGTTATTAAAGAAGCCAAAGGGGGACTAGGATACAGTTACATTGACTGCCAGAGACCTGCTACCCAAGACAAACCATTCAGGAAGAAGGCTGACTCTGCCACACAGCAGCGCAGAGAAAGGAAATGTTGTAGTGTGTAGGAAGATGATGATACGTGGAATTAGAATGTCAGAGTCTCACTCTGGCTGTCTAACTTGCCAGCTATGTGACCTTGGGCACATCACTTAAGCTTCCTGAGAATACTGCCCACTTCATGAAGTTGTTGTGAGGTTAAAGTGGGGTAGCCCTGCGCTTGGCACAGTGTAGTTTCTTTAAAAATTTCTTGTTAATATATTAAGAGTGATACTAGAGGCAGAAATCCCCCTGGATCCCTCCACTCCTACCCCCATATGTTTTGGGCCATGAGACCAACTCTCCTGGTGCAACAGATCTACCAAAAGGGTAGGAACATGTGGAAAGAGGTCCTCCCATTTCCCCTTCCCCAGGGAAAGACGCCAGGCTGCCTGGGTTCTTGGCCCCTGGGGACTGTCCAGAGTCCTAAGGAAGGAGTGTGTTTGAGAGCCTCTAGGCAGCCCTGCCCCCAAGTCTCTGGGCTCTGTGGCCCCAGCTCTCTGAGCCCACCCAGAGGTCTTGGGAGTCCCTGGGAGTCCCTGGGGCACTTCACTGCCTGCAATGTGCTCTGTACATTCCCTTCAATCTGTTCAGAGTCAGGCTGGGACCCTCATGAAACCAAAGACCCCTTCGTCCCATGGAGACCCCCATCCCTACACAGTATATGGGGCCAAGAACTGCAAGGCCTGGAGTCTCATAGGCACAGTCCTGGGAGAGAAGATAGGATTGGCAGACCCAGTTCACCTCCTGCTGCCCACTGAAGCAGCTAGAGCAGAGATCCTGGAGAGCATCTGGGTGGCAGAGGGAGCTAACAAGGCCTGAAATGCAGTTAGAGGGACCACACCACAGACAGAGTCACACAAACACGTGTGTGCTTCTCACATTTACCCCTCTCTTACACATACCTTCTCACACATAGACCTGCTTCTTATACCAGAGAACACATTTCACAGTTTCACCCCTGAAGTCACACACACACACACACACACACACACACACACTCACACACACACACCTGTCTCCTATCTGCTTAAACTTAAGGTCATGAGGAGAGTTAGAGGGGATCACAGGAAATTTTGTAAAAGTAGGCTGGTTAAGAGCAGATTTCAGAGACTCGTTAACTTCTCCCTACCCATAGACTTCATCAGAGAAAGGACTAATCCAGGAATAGGAAAAAAATTCACCTAACAGAATAGGTGTTGAGTTTATGATTGCTCTCCTAGAAGTACAGAGACAAACTCCAGGCTGTTTGGGAGATGATATATCAGCAGCATAACCCTGTCACACCACACTAGGACCTGAGCTCACAGCAGTTTCGAAAATATGAGAGATCCTTGAGGACAGTTTCAGGGTAGAGATGAGGGTGGGGCTGGTTGTCACGTTTCCATGGCAGCCTATCTCATTGCCATAGCAACAAGATTCTGCCTCTAATCTGCAGAGCCTGGGTTTCTGTAATGGGTGGAACACTGGTGTTTCATGGAATGGTGGTGAACCCCGCAACCCTTCCAAGAAAGAGAATTTCCATTCTAGACCAAGCAGAGTAGTGGTAGCCTGAGGCTGTCAAATAGGGCCTGGGTTTTTCTGTGGGCAGAAGCCTCGATTTCTGAGAGTTTCCTAACTACTCTCTCCTTCCTACAGCTATTTAAACTCCCCAGCCATTGGGGACCCCCAGGAATGTCCCCACAAGGCAGATTGAGCTTTTCTGATGTCCACCACAGCTTACTCTAATGTCATGTTATGTCAGAGAAGTGTGACATTGCGATGGGGAAGCCAGGCTCTGGAGTCAGGAGCCTGAAATGGCTTGCCACTCATTGGCTGTGTGCCTTGAGTGAGTTATTTTTCTTTTTAAACCTTAGGGTATTCACTGTGAAAATGGGGTCAATACATGCTAAGCCCCCTGGGTGCCTCCAAGGCTGTAGAGAAATGATGCACATAAATCCATCCAGGGTTTCCAGGGGATGTGGTGGTGGATGCATGGCCCAGTCCCTGCTGACACTCCTTGCAGATGCAGTGGGGCTTTAGGGTCTGTGGCCAAGCACCCCAGTGGAGGTCTGACTGTGGAACTCGTGTGATATTTATACCTCAGTGAATGGGGCAGTGGTCAGTATCATCTCCCAGATCAGGCTGTTCTACTGGCTGAAAACTTCCCTGGGAAAAGGGGAAGTACTTAAGCCAGCTGCCTTCCCCGTCCTAGATCAGAGCTACTCAAAGTGTGGGCGCCGGGCTCAGGGCCCTCTGCAAAACGCTTGCTACCCATCTGCACTGACATAAGTCTGGGAACTGAGAGAACGTCTTCAGAAATTTTTATAGTAATTTGATGTTGCCGTAATACCACCCAAGCAGCATCCAACTGGGGCTTCTTTCTGGTTGTTTTTTAAAGTCATAGAGAGAGAGATTGTGTGTGTGTGCGTGTGTGTGTGTGTGTGTGTATAAGTACTGATCTGCCCCACTGAGGGGAAAACAAGCTGGTCCTTCACCACCTCTAGTTTGAAAAGCACTGACCTTGATAAGATGATAAAGCCCCCACCTTAAAACCAGCTGGAGATGCAGTTGGGAGACAAAGGGAACAATCTCATTTGGGCCACCTGCAAAAATGAGCCCCAGGTCACACGCAGGTGAGTAGGCAGTATTTCCTTTATTGCTTCGGGACACAAACTGCAGGTCGACAGCCCTGCCCTGCCCGCCCCGCCCCGGCCCGGGTGGGCCTGGAGGTGAAGGCCCCACCTCCGCGCTCGGCCCCATCTCCGCGCTCAGCCCCGCGCGAGGCCGCGGACCCCGGGCAGCGCCGCCTGCCGCCTGCCGTAGCGCAGGCCGAAGGAGTTCCAGTTGTAGGCGGACACGTCCTTCTCCCGCTGCACCAGCACCGCGCCCCTCGGGGCCGGGATCAGGCGGCTGCGGGGGGCGCACGGGCCCGGCAGCTGGGGGCCCGCGGAGCTCTCAGGAGGGCACAGCGCGGCCCCCCGAGGCCGAGGCCCGGCTGCTGCGGGCTTCTCCGCCGCGCACCGCGGGCTCTGCTCCCAGGGCGCCCGGAGCGTCGCGGGTCCGAGCTGCGAGCCTAGGACAGAGCCACAGGGAGAGGCTGAGTGAGGCGGGGGCCCGGAGAGAGGCTTTGGACCACCTCCTCACATCCGCATCTTCGGCTTCCCTTGTGTCCCTTGACCCCTAGGGCGCTCAGCCCTCCACGCTGGGCACCAGCAGCATCTTAGCTTGGGTGGATTGTCCATTTGCTCCTCTCTCCTTTAACATAGCTATGGCTTCAGATATTTCACAGGATTTTCTTGAGCGTCTTTTACAGTGAATTCATTTTTTTTTTTTAAGGAAGCAAGCAGGATAGAGCTTGGAAATAATCAGCTTCGCTTCTCTTCGCGGCTGGCTGGCTGGCCCTCTACCCCTGCTTTTCATCAGGCTGCTACTAGACCGAGCTCCTTGGGGTGGTCAGGGCCATGTCCACTCATCTGAGTCTCTCAGAGTCTTGAAAACAGTGCCTTGCTCATAGCAGGGCCTCAAAAAGCCTTATTAAATGTATAAAAGCTAATGAAAGGCTTTCAGTTAGACAAATGAAGAAAGCGAAGCAAAGACCACTGTGCTCCCACACCCTCAACAAATGTGACCCCTAATAAGCTATATCAGGACTTCAGGAAAGAAGGGAAATTGGGTCACCTCAAGCAGCACGCCTCCCCTACGCCACATGTAATCTCTCCCCTTCATACTGAGGGCTAATGAGGCTAACTTGGAAGGCACTTCACATGCAAGGCTCATTAAGTTCATTAAATTTTTAGCAGTAAGATAGTGCAGCTAGCTCTCGGGAGACAATGGCCCAGCCAGTTGTGGCAAGGGAGAGGTGGAACTGCGGTCTGGGGTGAGTGGGTGTGTGTTGGGTGGAGGGGAGAATTGACTCTGAGCCCTGCTCTTCAGTGCCCTGGCACGCTCTGGAGAAGAGGAGCGTGGGTGAGTCTGGCCCAGGGTGAGTGAGAATCTTTCTAGGAGGGCCCTGGGCCTGGCTGAGATGGGAGGGACGCTGACCTCTTTTCCAGCTACAGCCATCATCCCAGCAGGTGGATCACTGCTTAGGCATCACTGTTTTTAGCATCACCTAAAAGCTTTTGCCAAAAAGAGCCAAGAGCTCAGTGTCCGCAGGGCGGTGATGACCTTGTTCTCCGGGGGATCCTCCCTCACCGAGAAAGAGCACCTGATCCCAGGAGAGAAGACGTTCTTGGCAAAGGATACCCGGGTCCATGACCTCTTTGCACTGGGATATCTTTTTTTAAAATTTATTTTATTTTTGGCAGCACAGGATCTTTTGCACGTGGGCTTTCTCTTGTTCCAGTGAGCAGGGGTCACTCTCTAGTTGTGGTAGGTGGGCTACTCATAGCAGTGGCTTCTCTTGTGAAGTCCGGGCTCTCAAATGTGTGGGCTTCGGTAGCTGTGGTTCTTGGGCTCTAAAGCACAGGCTCAATAGCTGTGGTGCTTGGGCTCAGTTGCTTCTTCCCAAGTCAGGAATCAAACCCGTGTCTCCTGCACTGGCAGGCAGATTCTTGAGCACTGAGTCACCAGGGAATCCCGCTTTGGGGTATCTTATGGGCACAATGACATCTTGTGTGTGGAAAGAATGCTGCAAGTTCCATAGCTGGAGAGGAACAGAGGTCCTAAGAGCCCAGGCTGACCATCCAGCAGTGTTAAACCTTGATTCCTGACTTGGGGATGAGCACTGTCCTAGCTCACGCCCTGTAGAGGGCACTCTTGGGGGAGATCAGCACCTGCTGGGTTTCTGCAGCCTTGGATTGAGTGGCTTTGGGAAGGTTTCTTTACCTCTTTGGGCCTCAGTTTCTCCAGGGCTTCAATTCCACAATGAACTCATAAGATTGAGAGGTATTAAGGATCTATCCTTCTGTGTAGTTTTTTTTTTTTTCCAAATTCCCCATAAAGGAACTGATGTGACCGATAAGATAGACTTGCATAGTAAATGCCTTCCCAGCAGATCTGCACAGAAGTGGTCGGCACGGAGCAGAGAAGACCATGAAGGCGCTCGGTGGTTAGCAAGCACATGAACTTGGGTGAGCCTCCTGATGTCTACAATAGCAGAAATCCCTCTCTTGCTTGCAAGGTTAGTGGGGCCCCCTATCTGTGCTGCATGGGCCAGTTTTAGGTTTCCATTGTGCAGCTTTAAATTCATATCAATAGATTAGCCATATCTGAAAAATATGGCAACTCTCATTTTGCATCAATTCACTTGCTCCCTCCCAACCCTCTTTCCAGACAACTCATACCTGTGGTTCTAGGATTCTCCATGGGCACCACCTTTTCTAATGTCTCCATGAAGGAGGTGGCACAAAGGAGAAGCATCAGCTGCCAGGAAAACAGCAGGTTCATCCTGGTGAGAAGATGCAGGTCCTGGAAGTGCCCTGAGGCCAAGACAGAGAGAGGGAGGAGGAACAGGGTTAGCTTGCTCTCTGGGCTAGGCACTGGGGTAGGGCCCCGCGCAAAGCAGGCACCTGGAAGGGAGGGGACGACCCTGCCCTCGGAAGCCCCCCGTGCAGGGATGAGCCTGAACCGACGCAGCATGGAAACAGGACTGAGACCCCTTGCGCCATATAGTTCAAGCTAAACTCATGCTAGGTGAGATTGTCAGGGAGGGCTTCCTGCTGGATGAGGCCAGTAGAGTTAGGAAGGAAAGAAGGGAGGGAGGATCCATACTGCAGGAAGGGGCAGGACTGCTCAGGTTGGGAGACGGCCAGGGTTCTGAACTTCAGGTTTGCTTGAGAGGAATGTTGGGAAACGAGGAGTGAGATGCAATGTGACGGTGAGCAGGGAGGGGCTGAGTGAGGTGGGGCACGGAGTGGCCCTGAGTGGGGGATGCTGAGGCCCCAGCCATTTCCCTGGAGCCTGGGAGCAGGCGCTTCTGCCTGCATGCTAAGCTCTGCGTAAATTGCAGCTCTCTGTGCTCCGCTCTCCCAGCTAGAACGTGCCTTTCTGAACCCGGCCCAGTCCTTCTTGCTGTCATAGAGACTTCTTTTTTTTCCTTTTTCAAGATAAAAGGAAGAGGTAATCATCTTGCTTGCTCTCATAACCCTTCATTGCCTTAAAACCATCATTAAATTGTCTTATTGCCTATAATTCAGGAAAGAGAACAAGGCTTTCCCTGATGTATCAGGTCAATTGTCTCCATATTCTCTTCTCCGTGGGCCCTGAGAGGGTATGGATTTAATTGACTGTATGATCTTGGCTGTTGAGGTGGGAGCTGTAGACTCTGACCCCCTTGTCCCCCCCCTTCCCTTCTCATCCTCCACCGACCCCTCCAGCTCTTCCAGCTCCCAAGGCTGATTTCTTTTTGAAAAAGTCATCAGGCACTTTGAGATTGTCCAGCAAACATAATGAAGACAAATTGGTGGAGAGCCAGGCAGCACTGCAGGCTGAGCAGAACGGGTGTTGGTGCCAGATCTAAGGCCGGAACCTCCCTCTGCGGTCAAGGGGCAAGTGGGTGGGGGGACTCCTGTTTGTGCCTGTCAGCTGCCAATGGTTGCTCAGCCCACCCATCCCTCTGTTCTTGCTCCTACGCCCTGGCCCGCTCCTGCTCCCTCCGAGATGCAAGCATGGGGTGGAATACAAACGGTATCAGAAGGACTCAATCTGGCTGCAGCTCCTCCCTCCCTCCTGTGAGATTAGAACAAGTCCACCCTTCATATCTGGATCTTATTGTTATGTGTGAAAAATAAGAGCATTGGATCAGACTGGCCACCAACTGTCCCCTCGGATGGTCACTTTCCTTGTACACTTTGACTCTGTGATACCCTGAAACCCAGATGCTTAAGGCCTGGGGCAGGGCGTGGAGTGGAGACAGGTTCAGTCCACTAGAGAGAACAGTGTAAAGCTGTTTCTTTTGTGGCTTTAGACCCCAGGTGCACAGGGGTCCAGGTCAGTTCAGAAATCATTCTTGATAACAACAACCAGGTGTTGCACACCTTCCCCTGGGCCTCCCCCTGAGGTCTAGCACAAGAAACTGAGTCATAAGCAGACCGTCTCAAGGTAACATGGCCAGTGATAGACCAGAGGCTTGTGAGTACATGGGTGGGGTGGGGGAGACTCTCAGCCCCTTTTCATCCCCTTCCCTTCTCATCCTCCACTGCGCCCCTCTCGCTCTTCCAGCTCCCAAGTCTGATTTCTCTTTGAAAAAGTCATCAGGCACTTTGAGGTTGTCCAACAAACATAAGGAAAGACAAGTTGGTGGCGAGCCAGGCAGCACCACAGGCTGCCCCGGGGTGTTTCAGAGCCCATGGGAACCTGACCTGGAGGGGCCAGGCAGGTTTTCTGCAGCGGTGGCGCCTGAGCTGTCTCTGAGCACAGATCAGCCTGGTGAGTAAAGGTTCATCCATGGCAGTCCCAGCAAGGAAGCCGAAGCCAGGAGTAGAGGGAGGTGCCACCCTCCAGCCTGCCAGGGCGTGGGTCTTTGCTGGGGGGAGAGTGAGTGATGCAGCTGGGAAAGGGGCCGCCAGGGGCTTCATCCCGGAGCAGTGTGAGCCAGACTGGAGTGTGTGTAGATGAGCGTTTTGGATGGAGAATTCAGGCTGCTCTTCAGAAGCAGGATGGTGCGTGAGGAAGGGAGCAGTGGGCAAGCTGTGTGGTTAGAAGGTGGTGTTCCTCCTTCATGCTCCTCTCACTTGTATTGCTTCCTCCCCATCCCAGCAGAGGTAGTGCTTGCCATGGGCACCATGTGAGAACCTTGGTTTTTCCCTGCTACCTGTCCCCTACACACACACACACACACACACACACACACACACACACACACACACACACACACACACGCAGAGCTCTTGGTTCCTGCCCAGCACAGTAGCTTTTAACATGTGGTAGAACTGAGTTGTTTGGAAAAGCACCATCAGCTTCCAAGGGCCACAGGTGGCAATTTTGTGGTCCCTCTGTCCCAGGAGTTTTGTACCTAGAGAGTAACAGAGACTCCAGGCTTGCTTGGAAAGCTCTTGGGGGGCGGGGTGGCCCCCTTCTGAGGTGAACCCATCTCCTAGTGCCGGGGCTGGCAGGGCACTCAGGAGCTGTTTGCGTCTGTGTCTGCCATCTGCGCAATGGGGAACTGCCCAGAGGAGCCCCCGGTGTTCCCCAGGTCCCTCCAGACGCCTCTGTGACCCCTCATCCCAGCCATGGGGAGCTCATTCACTGCACTCACTTCCCAGAAAGTAACCCCAAGGTCCTGGTTTCATAAAGTGCAAGTCAGTGTGTTTACCCTGACATTCCAGTCAAGTGGGAAGACCAGCACCCCTTTCGCCTGCCTGGATACATGGCTGCTCCCACCTTGCGAGCCTCCCTGGGTCCAGCCAGACCCCTCCGCTGGCGTGGGGGCTGCAGGCCACCTACCTTGCCTTGGCTGTGTCCTGAGCGGTCTCCGAGTGATGGCACCGCTTGGGCAGTAGGGCACCTGGAGGGAGGCGAGCTGGGCTCCTGCGCTCCCGCTCACCAGCGCCCTGCTCACGGCCCTTATAAAGCCCAGGGTGACGTCTCCAGGCACACACCCACCTCTGCCCCCCCACCCCAGCCCCTCGGAGAGTGCAGCCCTCCCGCTCCCTGCTGCTGGCTCCTGCCTCCTGGCGCCTGTGGCTAAAATCAGCCTTTCCCTCCCTCTCTAGGAGTCTTCCAGGGCTGGCTTTCTGATTCCTAATAGTTCTTTGCAGCCTCCTCACCTGCTTCTCCCGAGGCCCACTCACAGACCCACTCTGCCCCCAAACAACATTGAAAGGGACTGTTTGAGGTCTGGAGGAGGCTCAGCACACCTTGTCCCCCGTGTCCCCCAGCACTGGCAGCTCAGCTGGGGTCTCTGACCAGACGGCGGCTCCTGGGTTGGGGGCTGGGGTCCGGGGCTTGGTAGGGGGATTGTCTCTTTTCTTCTCTGCTCCCTTCTTTCCCCAAGCAATTCCTGAGCTCAGCCCAGGGTTTGGAGACGAACGTGCCGTGGTCAGATGGGCGAGACAGGCATGTGAGCAGCCAGCTAGGAAGGCAGCATGAAACGGCAGTTCTAGAAGGCGGGTGTCCCTGGCAAGTGCTGAAGGAACTGAGGAGAGCCCTCCAGGTGAGTGTGGTTTGTGTGAGGTGCAGCTCCTGCAGCCCCTCGGTCACATCCTGTGACGCCACAGTCTCGCCATTCTGAAATCGCCGTGAACCTCTCTTCGAAGTGGGGAGGTCTGCTTTCCTTTGCACCCTCAGCACCCGCTCCCTTGTTCTGCACAGACATAGGGGCCCTCACAGAAACATATTAAATGTACTCGTTGCAGGGGATTCCTGACTCTTTCTTGAGAAAGAGTGTGCTTTGCCCTTAGACGGGGGCTTCCCAGGACGGACTGGGGCTCTCAGAATTAGGGGCGCAGCATTCTACCCCAGCACAGAAGCTACCTGGCGAGTGCGCCGTGCAGACATCCACCTAATCGATAGTTGGGAAGCACTTCCCACCATCCTGGGGATTAATGCTCATTCCTTGTTTAACAGCTGCCGCTAACAGGGGCCTGAAAACATCTTATCTCCCTCATTAGGGCCGGTAAACAGGGTTTAATGATGAGCCGTAAGGGCTGGCCTGACCCTCCTCAGGTAGAATGATGTCTGTGGGCCCACCCTGAGTCAGAGAGTGGGCTTAATGGGCTAGAGACACTGAGTCTCAGGCACGTTCACAGCTTGGGGATTTAATCTTTGCTTCTCCTCTCATGGGCCCTGGGTCTCTGTTCCCAGCAGTCCTGACGGCTTCCTGCATTGACTTGGGGATCAAGGTCAGTCCCTCGGCTCCGTCCCTCCTTCTGGACCTGGAGAGGTCCGGATGCGTCAGGGGGGTGAGTCAGTGCTGGGTGGGCGCCTGTGAGATGTCTCCCATTTCCTTTCCAGCCCCCTCGCCCAGTGATCCAAGTTCAAGGAGTGCATCTCTGCTGTTCAGACCATTGAACTGGTGCCTTGAAACCTCCGGAACAGCTGTGGGAGGCAAGAATCATTACTGCAGACAAAGAGTGGGGAGCAGACTCAATATCCAGGTTATTATGAAGCTGGCCTTGAGACCCAGGAGCGCCAGGTGCAGGTATGGAGGGGGGCCACGGGGGCGTGCCGGGGCTGGCGTGCCGAGGGGTGGCCCAGGGCCTTCCTGGGCTTCTAGGGGGCTTGTGTTCTGCCAGGTGCCTCAGAAAGGGGAGGGCCAGGGGCCGGGGACCCCCGCCCCAAGAAGAGGACAGAGGCACCACCATTTCTGTTCTCACGGGATGTCACACATCCTCTCTACCCGGAGCCCAGAGTCATCCAGTTCTCCAGGGGTCACCGAGACCCCCAAGGCTCCTTTTCTTTGGCTCTAACAGGGAGCTGTTGACCAACACCATTCCCAACACCCACACTTTTGGCACAACTGCTCACAGAGCCCTCATCCGCTCTTGTCGGGAAGAGGGGCCGAGACAGGCCAGCTGGGGAGGGGTTTGGGGGGAGATGGGAAAGGATCCTCTGCACCTGGGGAGCAGCTTCACCAAGTCTGTGTGCTTCCCCCTCCCCAAGGACCACCACCAAGTCATGCACATGATTCACTTACCGCACTCAGGAAGGGGATGTTGCAGGTACTCCCCAGGAAGCCAAAGGCGACAGGGAAAAAGCCCCTAGGAGCAGAGAGGCGGAGAGGGAATCAGGGATGCACCGGGGGGGAGGCTGAGGTCCCGCTACAGGATCCAGCTTTGGCTCCCGGGAGAGCAGGGCCTTGGACCCTGGGCAGGCATGGCTCTGCACCGCTGCTTTTCAAGAGGCAGTAGGTGGACTAGTTACAAATGTCCCATCTGCACTCCACCTCTCACTGGCCCTGTGCAAATTTGGGCAAATTCCTTAACACCTCTGAATCTGTTTCCAGTTGTAAAATGGGGTTAATAATAATAGCATCCACATCTCCACAAAGAAATGCTTGGGAAATGTTTATCTTTGTTAGTCGTCTCTCCCTAGACCAGCTGTGAACTGCCTGCCACAGGTTTCCCGGTCCCGGGCATGGATCACCGATGGAGGCTGTGCTGTTTATTCTCCCCGACACTTGGCACCCCTCCCCTACTATACCCTCCCCTGGCAAGAATGGTGACCCTCCAAAGGACTTGGGGGCACAGAGGCTGGTGTGGGGAGGGAATAGAGATCTGAATTCTGGCTGACTACTTCCTCTCCTTGGACCTCGGTTTCCTGAGGTCCACTTGCATTTCTGAGGTCTCTGATAGCTGTGATTTTCTTCCCCCTTCAATGCTGCTGCAAGCTGTCTTTGTCTAGGTTTACTTTTGGCTAGAATTACTGCGTCTGCAGAGGCCCCACTCGCACTTTTGATCCACACCTGGATCAAGTTCAGATCCTTTGCATGCTCCTTGTGAGAGTTGAGGCAGGGGCAGGCTCTCTGGGCCTTGGTTTTCTCATCTACAAGAGGACAGCCCTACAGTGGGCGGTGGAGATGCCAGAATGAGAGGGAATTGTGAACCTGCTTGGTGCATGTGACGGCTTCGTGGACTCACGTTCACCGTCCCTGCCCCGTCTGGCTGCTCGGCTTGTGCAGGCCCTGGGCTGGTGGCTGGTGCCGGGCGCCGCCCTGGGCACAGGCAGGCGCTCCGTGTTTGCTGGCGGGTGTGCCGGCCCCTCCAGCTCGCAGTGTCCACCAGGTACCTCCCCCGTTTCCAGCCCTTCCGAGTCTCCCGCCTCTCTCGGGATAAAGTCCGGCTACTGTATGCACTGCCCACACGTTGCCCACACCCGCTGGAGCCTGAGCTCAGCTGCTCAGAGGCCCTGGAGTGCCAATCGCGAGGCCCGGGGCCTGTTCTCACCTGAAGAGGCTGAAGAAGCCATAGGTTTCCAGGATCATGCCCAGGAGAGGCCAGCGCAGCAGGACGACGGCCACGCCCCCCAGGAAGAAGCTGGTGCCCTTGAGTTTGTGCCTCTGGAAGAAGAAGGAGAACGTCCTCCTCAGGCCAATGATGAGGGAAAGGCCAGTCAGGAACAGCAGCTGTGGGGGGCGAGAGCAGTGGGCTGGTGAGAGCGAGCACGCTGGCTCCGAGCCCCCCACCCCCGAGTCCGTGGCTGGCAGGAGTCGCTTCAGCGGCGGGGCGGGACCTGCTCCTTCTTCACAGGCCAACGGTATCTGCGAGGCCGATACCCCGATACCGGCGGTAGCCCCGAGTGGCTGGGGCTCGTGAGGGGCAGAAGGACCCAGAGGCAGGGGTCCAGGGGCGTTGCAGGCCTCTAGCTTGTCACCCAGCTCAGCCTGGTTTCTTGGGTCCCAAGCACTTCCTCACGTATGGTATCATTTTTCATCACACCTCCCAAGTAACACGGAAAAGACTCTCCATCTTACAGAGGCTGAAGGCCAGGCCTCAGTAGGTTGGGCAGCCACACCCGAGTCCCAGGGAGCTGGCGGAGCCCCGGGCCTCCACTCCTCGGCCCTGTGAGTGCCTCGGGCTCCTGTCAGACTGGGTCTCGAATCATCTGAGTTCCCACCCCCCACCCCCAACCCAGGGCCTCACCTGGAGCGTAGCATGAGAATCCAGGTCCTCAGGTTCTCTGTGCCCATCCCCAGCCTCCACCCCTTGCCTGCCCAACGCAGGTGGCACACGATGCCTGGCTGGACCCGATCTGAGTAAACTCGGGGCTGACCCGCCCGGCAGTGGAGACCTCAGGTTGGTTCACAGGGTTCACAGGGCTGGAAGACTCACATTTCCGAAGGCCAGGAGCACCGAATCAAAGTACAGGAGTGTTCCAAAGAGGATGAAGAAGATGCCGAAGCCAGCAGTGCCCACACCAATCTCTGCAATGGGCAAGTAAGTTGTGGTGGGATGGGTTTGGGGAGCAAGCTGGGATGCTGCAGCTCCCCCATCGCCCCTGGACAGGTGCCCTCTGAGGGTGGGAGGTGGGGTGGCTCTGTTGTCATCCGGGAGTCTTGGCTTCCATGCTCTCAGAGAAGGATGGGAAGGAAGGGGAGGGTGGGCACAAATCTCCGTTTAGCACCTGGAAACTGCTGTTCAGTTCTGCCCACATCCTGCCCTCACCACCGCTCCACAGGTAGCTAGTGCTGCCCTCACTGCTTTTTCTCTTTTCAGTTTCCTCTTCAAGATCTTCAAGATTTCTTCTTGTCTGCTAGATCATTATCAGGGTTGTGACTCTGGCTGAACACAACCCATTGCCTGCTCTGTTCCTGTTTTCTTATAGCTGGAAGCCACTTGATGCCAAATCATACCTGGGTCAAAGAGTACCACCAAAGACTCATAGCCACAGTGCCATAGTATCTCAGACCTGCCCAGCTGGCCTGCCCTATTTCTCAGGAGGCCTGTCCTCCTGATAATTCTCACAGCCTCTCCTTTCTTCTCTAAACTGCTCTGGTCCCCGGCTTTCCAGTGATGACCCATCACACTTGAAAGGGAAAGAGAAGTCATGGACCAGAAATGCGCTCGTCACCTGGAAGTCTGTGCCGCAGCCAGCAAAGTGATTGCCCCCCCCACAGCTCCCAGGCCCTAACTGCATGCCCTAACAGTGGCCGGGCTGTTTGCGCCAGGTGGGCCCCAGCAGCAGTGTGTCTTTTACTTTGCTTTCCTTGTTCTTTGAACTGTAGCAGTTGGCTTAGAGCCAACACAGGGAGCCCAACACAGTTGTGCAGGATGTTTAGGATACGAAGTTTATTTTCTCTTAAACCTTCATTTTACTTTATGTGTGCCTCTCTGGTAGTCAACAAATGACAATTCATTGTGTTGCTTCATTTTGAAATTGAATCAAGTTGAAAATTTCATGTTAAATTACAACAAAATAGACATAAAGTTTACCACCTTAACATCTTTAGGTATTCAGTTCATGGGTATTAAGTACATTCACCTTGGTACACTCTCACCACCTCCCACTCTTTTCATCTCACAACACCGAGACTCTACCCACTGAAAGACTCCTTGGCCGCACCTGCCCCCCGCCTTTGGCAACCACCACTGTATGCACTCTCTGTTTCTGTGATTCTGACTAGTCTAGGTGCCTCATATGACTGCAATCATACAGTGCTTGCCTTTGTGTGACTGGTGTATTTCGCTCAGCATAATGTCTTCAATGTTGATCCATTTTATAGCATGTGTCAGAATTTCCTTCCTTTTTAAGGCTGAATAATATTCTATTGTATGCATACTACATTTCATTTATTCATCTGTGGATGGACTTGGGATGCTTCTACTTTTTGGCTATTATACATAATGCTGCTGTGAGCACGGGTGAACAAATACCTCTTTGAGACTCTATTTTCACTTTGGGGTTTATATCCACAGGTGGGATTGCCAGGTCATATGGTAGTTCTATTTTTAATTTTTTGAGAGACCACCATACTATTTCCCACAGAAGTTACGCCATTTTATGTTACTAGTAGTGATGCACAAGGGATTCCAACTTCTCTACAACCTCACCAACACTTGTTACTTTCTGCTTTTTGCTTTGTTTTGTTACTGATAGCAGGGTGTGAAGTGGCATCTCACTGAGGCTGCAGTTGGCATCTCGTTGATGGTTACTAATGTTGAGAATCTTTCATGCCCTTATTGGTCATTTGTATATCTGTTTTGGACAAGTGTCTATTTAAGGCCTTTGCTCATTTTTAAAACAGGTTGTTTGGATGTTTTTGTTCAGTTATAGGAGTACTTTGTATATTTTGGATAGTAACCCCTTATCAGATATATGATCTGCTAATATTTTCTCCTATTCTGTAGGTTGCCTTTTCACTCTCTTGTATCTTTTGATGCACAGGAGTTTTAAATTTTTATATAGTGCAATGTTTCTATTTTCTCTGTAGTTTCCTGAGCTTTTGGTATCACACCCAAGAAATAATTGCCAGTTCTAGCATTGTGAAGCTTTTCTCTTATGTTTTCTTCTAAGAACTGTTTTAGATCTTACCTGAGCTAAAATGAACTTTAATTTTTACGTGTGGTGTAAGATAAGGGTCCAGCTTCATTCTTTTGCCTGTGAATGTCCAGTTTTCCCAACATCATTTGTTGAAAAGACCGTCCGTTCTCCACTGAACGGTCTTGGTACCCTTGTTGAAAGCCATGTGCCCGTACATGCCAGGGTTTATTTCTGGGCTCTCTCTTAGATTCCACTGGTCTCTCTGTTTGTCTTCACGCCAGTCTCACTGTTTTGATTGCTGTAGCTTTGTAATAAGTTTTGAAATCAAGAAGTTTGAAACCTCCAACTTTGTTCTTTTTCAAGATTGCTTTGGCTATTCAAGACTCCTTGAGATTCCATGTGAATTTAAGAATGAATTTTTCTATTTCTGCAAAAGATGTCATTGGGATTTTGCTAGATTAATTGCATTGAATCTGTAGACTGCTTTGGGTAGTATTGACAGCTTAACAGTATTGTCTGCCAGTCCACAAATATGGGTCTTTCTACACATTAGTGTCTTTTAAAATTTCTTTTAGCAACATTTTTTAGTTTTCAGGGTACAAGACTTTTGCCTCTTTAGTTAAGTTTATTCCTAAGGATTTTATTCTTTTTGATGCTGTGGTAAATGGAATCATGTTGCTTCCTTTTAAAAAATCACTGATGACATACAACTTTTTATATTTTATTGTTTATATTGTTTTGCAACTTGCTTTATTTACTTAATATAGCTAAAATGCCTTATTTTCTTTTTGTTGTAAATTATAGGATGACTAGAGAAAGGGCTAGAGTGTCTTTTTCAACTACAATGTGTATAACTTTGTTAAAAATAGCTTAAGTTTAAAAAAGAAAACACATAGGTAAATTGTAAAGAGAAAGTTTTTACTGGATTTGTTAGCTAACATCTTAGCATCTCTGTGAAATTGGTATTATTGTCATGTTTCTATGTGTGTCTGTGCTCAGTCAGTCCGTCACGTCCGACTCTTTGTGACCCCATGGACTGTAGCTCACCAGACTCCTCTGTACATGGAGTTTTCCAGGCAAGAATACCGTAGTGGGTTGCCATTTTCTACTCCAGGGGATCTTCCTGACCCAGGGATTGAACCTGCCATGTCTCCATAGAGAGTTGTAAAAAGTTGCTGAAAGCTTGGTGGTTAAGAGGCAGAACTAAGAAAACAAAACAGAAACAGAATTATGAAGACAAGGCTTACTGGCTTAATTATATTTGCAACTGAAAGAGAAGGAATCACAATTGTCTTTCAGGTAATTAATCTTTCCTAATCTGTGCCCGTGGCTCAGTGGGTAAAGAATCTGCTTGAAATGCAGGAGATACAGGTTTAATCCCTGGGTTGGAAAGACCCCTGGAGAAGGAAATAACAACTTACCCCAGTATTCTTGCCTGGAAGTCCCATGGACAGAGGAGCCTGGCGGGCTACAGTCCATGGGGTTGTAAAAGAGTTGGACACGACTTAGTGACTAAACAAAAACAACTTGTTATCATACAGATCTTAGGAGGAGAATTAATACCAGTTCCAGTATAGAAATAAGGCAGGCCAAAGGCTTTCCTTAAAAGAATCATTAAAAATACAGAAATGAGATTTGGACTGAAACCTCATTCAACTCATTATTCAAAAAAACAAAAAAAACCAAAAACAGCCTAATTAGTTCTCCCTTTTGGCAGAGTTGGATTTGCTAGGAACCAGCACAGCATCATTTCTCTCAGCATATTGCCCCACCACCAGAATCCATCTGCAACTAAGGGCAATTCCTCCTGTTTCTGACAAATCTCCGTAATCTATTCAAGCTTCCTATTTCTACCTTCTAGAATGCCTGCTCGAATTAAATCTCTTAGAGCCCAAGACACTGAAAAATACAACCTCCTTGGTCATTATGAAGGTTGTGTTCTTTCCATGTTGCATGATTTTTCTACCCTCAGAGACAATAAGGGCTTCCCCAGTGGCTCAGCAGTAAAGAATCTGCCCGCAATGCAGGAATCACAGGAGAGGTGGGTTTGATCCCTGGAACAGAAAGATCCCCTGGAGGAGGGCATGGCAACCCACTCCAATATTCTTGCCAGGAAAATCCCACGGAGAGAGGGGCCTGGCAGGCTACGGTCCATGGGTTTGCAAAGAGTTGGACATGACTGAAGTGACTGAGCATGCGTGCATGAAGAAACAATAAATTGAGGATCAAGAAGTATTTCTACCTTGTTGTGATTATTTTACATGGGCCAGGATGTTGTGGAGGAAGACCACAATCTGAATGACAAAAATATTTTAAGTTTTATGACTGCTATAAAAACCTCTTATGAGAGGTCAGGAGATCACTACTGATACATGACTACCATCTGGCACTCAGGCCCCATTCATGTTTCCTCAGTTGCCCCTGTAATATCATTCAGAGTGAAAAGGTCCAGTTCAGAGTCACATGTGGCATGTGCTTGCCATGTTTCTTCAGACTGTTATGTCTAGAACAGTTCTTCAGTCTCTCTTTGACATGACCTTGACACTTGGAAGATCTGAGCCAGTCATCCAGTAGCAGGCCCTCTATTTGGGTCTGTCTGTCTGATGTCTCCGCATGACTATATTCGGGTTATGCAGATATATCAACAAGAGGTGATGCCGTGTTCTCCTGCCACTGTTAGGTGACGCACGATTCCAGTTTGACCGTTACTGAGGACGTTTCTTCAAGTCGGAGTCTGCAGGACCTTCCACATAAAGTGACTCTCCAGCCCCTACCCCGACCCTGCCAGATGCCCCCCTCCTCCTGGCCAGCTGAACCCCGCCCAGCGTGAACCCTCCAACCTGGGGCGCGCTCTGACGCCCACCCTGGGCACTGCCCCCCTTCCGCAGTATGGTTTTAGGACTGAATTGTTCAGGAAGGAGGGAAAGGGGAAAAGAAAGAGCCCATTTCTCTTTACAGAATTAACAGTGGTGACTGGTAGTAGTCATTGTTAACACTGGTGAGCACACGGTGCCAGGCAGTTTAAGCACTCTGTATTAACTCATTTTGTCTTCATACCTGCCTATGCGGTAGGTATGTTTTCAGCCCATTTCACAGACAAAACTGGAACATGAATGGTTGTAACGTATGCCCAAGGGTGCACAGCCAGCAGAACCAGGGTGTGAACCCAGTAGACTGACTCTAGAGAAGTCACTTTAACTAGCCCCGTCCAACCCACTCCTGCCCCCGCCCCCTCTGCAGGAACTGCTCTGGCCCGGCGCTCCCAAACGCAAAGCATGGGATCGGGCCCCCTCTGCCAGCAGCTGGCCACCCCCTTCTTGCAGCATCCTCTAGTGGGCTCCGTGACACCATGTTCTCGATTTCTTCCTGCTGTTCTGGCCGCTCCTCCCAGCCTGCTTTGCCAGCTCCCTCTTCTCTCTTTCCCTCTTGGGGTCTGAATTACTCAGGGCTCCAGTTTCAGCTCATTTCTCTTCTCATTCTAGTTGCACATGGACTCCCACTTCTTTAAGTATCTCCTGTGTACTGACAATGTCGATATTTATCTTTCTAGCTCGTGCCGCCTCTGAGCTTCCAAACTCCTATCCAGCTGCCTTCTTGGCACATCTGCACGTTTTTCTCTCTTCAGGACATCTTGAACTCAACAGGTCCAAACTGAGCTATTGGTTTCCTTCCTTAAAGCTGCACTTGGCTCAGTTTTCCCCAAATGAATAAAATGTCATCACCATCCACCCAGCAGCTTGAGGCAGAAGCACAGTGGCCTCACTGCTCCGCCACCCGCTCTGCATTTGATCCACAGGTGAGTGTTATTGCTTCTTCCTCCCAAGTGTATCTTGAAAGCTGTCCATTTCTCTCCACGCTTACGACTTAGTTCTAAACCACCATTTTCTCTTTCCCGTACTCTGCGACATTCCCCAGTTAGTCTCCGGCTGCGTTCCTGCCCCCGTTATGCCTTCTCCATATGGTCATCAGGGCTCTTGGAAAACATACAGTCTACTTGTGTTAGCACAGCGGACAATCTGTCATGGCTTCCCGTGGGCTTAGAAGGAAAGAGTCCTCCCAGCTTGCCTTGGCTCACAGGCCTGTCAAGGGGTCTTGGCCTGCTTGTCCAACTGCATCTCCTGGAGCAGGGCAGGCAAGAGTATGACCCTTGCCCGCCCACTCCGAGCACATCCTTGCTCCCAGGACGGACCTTTCTGCCTTAGGGTCTCTGTACACACGGTTTCTTCCCGCTTGTCGTCTGGCCGACGCACACTCCGCCTCCAGGTCTCACCACGAATGGCGGTTTTCCCGGGGAAGTCTGGTCCACTCTCCATTCCTGACTTAATCTGGTTGCCTCATTTTCTCTCTTGCAGGACTGACTTAGCACATTCTTCTTAGAACTTAGCACATTTTGGTTTAATAAAATGTAGGCTTGTCCATGGGCTCAGGCCTGAGCCCTCTTCTCTCTATCTTTCCCCCAGGTCAGTGTTTCTCACCTTGGCGGGTTGGGGGAGGGCTGATAGGTAGTGGGTTGGCAATTCCGTTCCCCAGGGGACATTTGGGGATGTATAGACCGGCTGATAGTCACAGTAGGTAGTGAGAGTGTGCTCCTGCCATCTAGTGGGGAGAGGCCAGGGATGCTGCTAAAATCCTGTAATAGAAAGGACAGACCTCCTAAAACAAAGAACTGTAAGTCACATCTGACTCTTTGTGACCCCATGGACTAGTCCATGGAGTTCTCCAGGCCAGAATACTGGAGTGAGTAGCAGTTCCCTTCTCCAGGGGATCTTCCTAACCCAGGGATGGAACCCAGGTTCTTTACTAGCTGAGCCACCAGGGGAGCCCCCGGGGGAAGAGTACTCAAGTGGGCAGCCTATCTCTTTTCCAGGGGAACTTCCCCACCCAGGAAGCGAACCGGGGTCTCCTGCCTTGCAAAGAACTACCCTGCCTGCAAATGTCAGTAGTGGGGAGGCTGAGAAACTGTGCACCAATCTCATGGTTTTAAATACTATCCGTATGCTGACAATTCCCAAATTTCTCTCCATTCCAGACTCATGTACCTGACTAGCTACTTGACCACAAACTCAACATGTCTAAAACCCAACTCCTGCTTTCCTTCTCAACCCTTCTAATTGCTCAGGCTGGAAATATTGGAGGCATTCCTGGGTTCTTTCTCTCACACCCCACATCCAATCCACCAGCAAACCCTTTCGGCAGTTTGCTCAGCGCACGTCTAGCACTATTTCCCCCCAGTACGATGCTACCACCCTGGTCTCCCCATCTCTCACCTCAGAATTGGTCTTCCCCTCACCATCTCCTGCCTCTTAACCAGTCTCTCTGTTGTCCTTCCAGTCTGTCTACCCTCGATCCAGTACTCGGAATGATCTTTTAGAAACATAAGCAGATCACACCACTCCTCTGCACAACATATCCTAATGGTTTCCCACCTTCTGCAGGTAAAGCTGGAGTCCGGATGCAGCCTGGCTGCTGGGCGATCTCCTGACCAGCCTGCTGCCGCTCTCCCCTGCCCTCAGTGGGCTTCGGCCACACCAGCCTCCTTGTGTCCCTACGTAACGCCTCAGGGTCTTGGCACTGGTGGTCCTCTCTCCCGAGGAGATTTCTCCATCCAGACAGCTCATGGCTTTGCCCCCTCAATTCCCATGCACCGCTGTAAAAAGCGCTTTCCCCGGGCAGTTTAGTGGCCCTGTACACAGAGCAGTAACCCCTCCCACTTGGCACTCCCACGCCTCTTACCCCTTTTATTTTTGTCCAGAGGACATACTACGTACTGCCCTCTTCATCTGCTAGTTACCTGTTTCCTCACCCTGGAGAATAAGCAGGGTATATATCTGTTTCATCCATTGGTGCATACTGTGCCCACCTCAGTGCTTGGCACATAGAGGAGACAGTAAAGGAATGGATACTATCTCCAGTTCACAGATGAGACACTGGCTTTAAGTAACTCACCCAAGCGAAACTCATAGAGCCACAGTTCTCATCACTTTTCCCAGCCCTGGGGACTACCTCCCTGCCCTCTCTCGGGAAGAAATGGGCAGGATATTTAGGAGTGAAGACAGGGTGATTTAGGGAGAGGATTTGAGTTTAGTTTCTGATAAGAAGGTGCCAGGGCTACAGAAGACTTTAAGACTTTGTTGGGGGAAGAGTCTGAATAGGCAGAGGCCTTCCAGGTCCACCCTGGCAGTACCCCCGGTTTCAGAACCCTGAATGCGGATGGGATCAAAGTGGCGAGCCTGCCAGTTCCTCCAGGCAGCAGCCTCTGGCTCCCTGGGAGCGCTGAGCAGCCCTGGCCCGGGCAGCAGGGATCCCAGCTGGGCCCGGCCATGCGGCCTGGGGGAGGCCAACGTGGCCGCTCCCAGCCACTGGCTCCAGAGGTCACCTTGCAGGCTCCCCAGGGCCGGCCAGGCTGGGAGGGGCCGCACCTCCCCCGCCCCAGCCCAGCGCCCCCAGCAGCGCAGCCCAGCCCCTGGCACTCACTCTGCCATTCGGTGATGGAGATCATGTCGAGGGCTGCCTGGGGGACACTCCAGGAGGAAGCTGGCCAGGGGCAAGGAGCCCTGAGGACCGAACCTGTACATGCTCAAGGGAAGCTGACCCTTGGTAAGTTGTGAAATGAGCCTCTGGCAAATCATTAACTCCCCAACACATCCACACACCTACACGCACACATACACACGCAGTCACCCACACACACTCACATACAGGGCTGCTTAAAGTCACAGTCTCTCTCCTGGTTTCTCCCAGAGGGCACTGCTCCCTCCCGCGGGGAAGTCCACGCCTGTCTGACTCTTGTAATTCCCCCCAACCCATCCCCTGAGCAGAGAAGGCAATGGCACTACACTCCAGTACTCATGCCTGGAAAGTCCCATGGACGGAGGAGCCTGGCAGGCTGCAGTCCATGGGGTCGCTAAGAGTCTGACACAACTGAGCGACTTCACTTTCACTTTTCACTTTCACGCACTGAAGAAGGAAATGGCAACCCACTCCAGTGTTCTTGCCTGGAGAATCCCAGGGACGGGGGAGCCTGGTGGGCTGCCATCTATGGGGTTGCACAAAGTCAGACACAACTGAAGCGACTTAGCAGCAGCAGCAGCCCCTGAGGCTGAGTTCAGCTGTCACCATCTCTTTGGCAAATCTTGGACTGTTTAGGGAAGAACTGAGAGTAGCAGTACCTGGGTTCCTTACATGGTTTGGTGGACAGTGTGGGAAGAGTTGGGATCTGTTTCTCTTCACAGAAGTACTATTAATAAATTCATTTATTGATTAAATTCATTAATAATTCAGTATGAAGTCAGCAGTGAAGTCAGAAGCAGTATTACCGTAGTACTTCCAACCAGTATTAAGGGATGCATAACACCACCCTTTGGAGAAGGAAATGGCAACTCACTCCAGTATTCTTGCCTGGAAAATCCCATGGACAGAGGAGCCTGGTAGGCTATAGTCAGTCCGTGGGGTCACAAAGAGTCAGACACGACTGAGCGACTTCACTTTCAACACCACCCTTATGGAAAAAGTGAAGGGGAACTAAAAAGCCTCTTGATGAAAGTGAAGGAGGAGAGTGAAAAAGTTGGCTTAAAGCTTAACATTCAAAAACTAAGATCATGGCATCTGGTCCCATCACCTCATGGGAAATAGATGGGGAGACAGTGGAAACAGTGTCAGACTTTATTTTTGGGGGCTCCAAAATCACTGCAGATGGTGACTGCAGCCATGAAATTAAAAGACGCTTACTCCTTGGAAGGAAAGTTATGACCAACCTAGATAGCATATTAAAAAGCAGAGACATTACTTTTCCAACAAAGGTCCGTCTGGTCAAGGCTATGGTTTTTCCAGTGGTCAGGTATGGATGTGAGAGTTGGACTGTGAAGAAAGCTGAGCACCGAAAAATTGATGCTTTTGAACTATGGTGTTGGAGAAGACTCTTGAGAGTCCCTTGGACTACAAGGAGATCCAACCAGTCCATCCTAAAGGAGATCAGTCCTGGGTGTTCATTGGAAGGACTGATGCTACAGCTGAAACTCCAGTACTCTGGCCACCTCATGAGAAGAGTTGACTCATTGGAAAAGACCCTGATGCTGGGAGGGATTGGGGGCAGGAGGAGAAGGGGACGACAGAGGATGAGATGGCTGGATGGCATCACTGACTCGATGGGCATGAGTTTGAGTAAACTCCAGGAGTTGGTGATGGACAGGGAGGCCTGGTGTGCTGCGATTCATGGGGTCGCAAAGAGTCGGACACGACTGAGCAACTGAACTGAACTGAATGCAAATTCAAGTTGGAACCCACCAAAAGAGATAGCCCACAACCAAAGGCAAAGGAGAAGCCACAACATGATGGTAGGAGGGGTGTAATCACGTTTAAGGTGAAACCTCATACCCACCAGAGACGCTTGGAGAGCACAGACAAAACCTTGTGTGCATGGGCACCGCGGGAGAGGAGCGGTGACCCCACAAGGGGCGGGCCAGACCTGCCGTGGTGTCTGAGGGCCTCCTGCAGCAGCGTGCTGCAGGGACAGGGGCTCCGGCAGCAGCAGTCCTGGGAGGGGTGGCCTGTGGCCCAAGTCCTCTTGGAGGAGGTTGCCATGAGCTCGTCGGGCCACCAGGCGAGCAACTCACAAACTGGAGGACAATTATACCAAAGAAGTTCTCACTGATCTGAAGTTTCCAGGCCCCACCAGACTATCCAAGACTCAGTATCCGCAGGGAACCTGACTTTGAAGAGCAGTGAGATTTGATAGCAGAGCTTCCACAGTGGTGGTGAAACAGAGGCTTTTGGTGGGCACAAACAAAACCTGTGCACACCAGGACCCAGGAGAGAGGAGCAGAGACCCCACAAGAGACTGAGCCAGACTTGCCTCTGTGTGTGGGAGTCTCTGGTGGGGCGTGGGGCTACAGTGCGGGTCAGGGCACTGGCTCCAGCAGTCCTGGGAGGCTCAGCGTGCTGTCTTAAGCCCTGTTGAAGGAGGTTGCCATTACAGCCATCACCACAGCCTCAGGCCAAACTACAGGGAGGGAACACAGCCCCACCCATCAGCAGAAAATTGGATTAAAGATTTACTGAGCATAGCCCTGCCCACCAGAGCAAGACCTACTTTTCCCCACAGCCAGTCCCTCCCATCAGGAAGGGTCCACAAGCCTCTTATCCTCATCCATCAGAGAGCAGACAGAATGAAAACCACAATCACAGGAAACTAACCAAATTGATCACATGGATCACAGCCTCACCTAACTCAATGAAACAATGAGCCATGCCCTGTAGGGCCACCCAAGACAGACAGGACATGGTGGAGAGTTCTGACAAAATGTGGTCCACGGGAGAAGGGAATGCAAACCACTTCAGCATCCAGAACCTCATGGACAGGATGAGATGGTTGGATGGCATCACTGACTCGATGGACATGAGTTTGAGCAGACTCCAGGAAATAGTGAAGGACACGGAAGCCTGGCATGCTGCAGTCCATGGGGTTGCCAAGAGTCGGACACGACTGAGAGACTGAACAACATTAATAGATTCATCTTGGAAGCAGTGTGATCGCTTTGTGCTGGTACCCATGCTAGATGCTAGGCGGCAACTAGCAACTTACTGAGGCCTGCTGCTGACCGTCTAGGAGAGCACCAGATTCAGTTGACTCTAGGGCAGAAATGTCCCAAGGGCGTTAGACACACAGCTTTGCCCCCTTTCCCCCCGTGTTGTCCAGCTCTGGACTGTGAGGCTGAGCTGTGGAAACACGAATCCAGGCTTGGGGTAGGACTGGACGAGTCAGGACGCTTGGTTCTAGCCCACCCACCTGCTGTGTACACGCGGCTGCATCCCTCCTCCTTCTGTGGGCCCGGAAAAGGAGAAGCTGGCTGGTTCCTACCCTCCTCTCTCTCGTTGGAGAGCAGTGGTTCTCAATTCCATTAGAGTCAGCATCCCCTTTGCAATGTCCCCTCTATTCTGCAGTGCAGTCTCATAGATGATATGACCAGTCTACAGCCATCATTTAAACACCTCAAAGGTAATTATAATAAAGAAGAAAATATTATGATAGGACACAATATCTCAGTATATAAGTGTTAGACAAGACTTAAAGAAGGCATAATGTAGGCAGATTGCTTGCACCTAATTGTAATAAGTTTGAATTTAAGAGAAATAGAAGACTTGGGCCACACTTCCAAAAAAACCAAATAAGCCCTCTCTCTATACAAAAAAATCAAAGAGCATTATGGAGTGAACACTAGAATAAAAACTGTTAGGTAGGTAAAAACAGACCAGAGGTCTTTGCATATATATATATTATATATATATATATTTTTAAAAAAGAGGGAAATAACCTTCATTGAAGTAGAGATAACATAGCAAAGCAAGTTAAAGATGACACAGTGAGAAAATGAGGAAATACAATGTGAGAGCAAACAGACTGAGTCTGAGGGAGTTTCCTGGAGGTCTGATGGTTAGGATTTGGCTCTTTCACTGCTGTGGCCATGTTCCCTGGTCAGGCAACTGAAATCCCGCAAGCCACACTGTGCAGTCAAAAACCCCCCAAAACCACAAACCAAAAACTGGATTTGATGTGTGCTGTTAAAAATAGCTCCCTGTGTTACCATATGGGATGGGATAGTGGAAAAATGTCACAGACACATAGATCTGTGTTTTACTTTTCTTTTTCTAAGATTTTTTTTTTTTGATGTGGACTATTTTTAGTCTTTATTGAATTTGTTACAATATGCTTCTTCTTCTTTTTTAAAAATGTTTTTTGGCATTTTGGGTGCGGGGCATGTGGGATCTCAGCTCCCAACCAGGGATTAAACTCACACCCCCTGCATTGGAAGGTGAAGCCGTAACCACTGGATCACCAGGGAAGTCCCCACAGATCTGTGTTTTGAAACACAATCGTGTGTTCAGGCAAACTTCAGTCTGGAGGATCTTAAGAGGCCTTGGAGATCATATATTTCCGATGGGCAATATAGAATGGATTGGAAAGAGAAGTGGTGATACAAGTTGTTTAAAGCAACTGAATGTGCACCCTGAGAAAAACAGCAGGCAATTCCCCTAAACATTTCCATGTGCAATTGTTACAACATAGATGTTCATCTTTGGGCTGTAAAAACTTAAAAAATATGAAGGAGGCAATACTGTAATATGAAATAATTTCTAAAAACAGGTATTAAGGAGATCCAAGGAGACCTTGCATCTCAAGAATCTTTGCTTTAATATTTGGTTCTCTCAGAGCGTCTCTGTTAACTGTTTGCAATCAGCCTCTTTGCTTTTTCAGTAAGACTACTGCATTTGAACCAAATATACAGTAGTTGCAGTGTTAGAATCCGTTGTGTAGACAAGGATTGGAGTAGATTATTCAATAATTCTGAGACAATGTCTTTTTTCCATTTAAGGGTCTTCTCCATAATAAGCATCTCTTAACTTACTGAGTTATTCAGAAAACTAATTTTTTTTTTTAGAAAACTAATTTTTTAAAAAATTAGAAGCATACAAAAACTTTTTAGAACTATTATGAATTGTAAT